CTCAGCAACGTGCAGGGTGTCGAGATCTGACCACTTTAACTTGTCCAAATCCCTGTCTCAAAGTTTTTAAGACTTTTGTACATTTTCCGCATGTGTAGTCCTTCATATCTTTAGAAGGAGAACGCAGATTGGCCAACTTTGTGCAGCTACCAAGAGTCCTTTTTAGGGTCTCTCACTGACATAAGTGGGAAGTGTCATTTGCATACCATTCTCGAGATCTGGGAGGTTGAAAATGGTGAAAAACACCTAATTTGTCAATTTCTAAACACAATCTTTGCTGTAAATAAGAGACAAACTTCCTCCCTTTTCCTGACACTCGGAGTTTATGACCCCCACTTAATCGTGTGCCTGGTTTTCTTAACTTTCCAACGACACCAAACTCGTCCCCATCCGATAATCAATGAGAAAGTTATGAGCTTAAGAATATTCCAATTCTTCCTTTACTTTTGCATGTATCCGTGACTTTCACTTTCCACTTTCATTTCAGTTGACCTAAATAGTTCATGACCTAGATAGTTCATCTTCGTTTTTAGCCCTATTCCTAACCCTAACCCTAATCCTAACTTCAACCTTAAATAATTGTTAGGTTTAAAATAACTTAAATTTGATCAATACAAGGGAAAGAAAAGAAATACAAGGTAGCAAAATAAGTTTAATCTTTGTAAAAGAGAAATCATAACAACAGGACAGGTTTAAAACTAGTCCCGTCCTCTAATTAACTCATCACGTACAGTGTTCACAGTCTCAGTTACATCAAAGAGCGACCGCTAGCTTTGTGTATTGGATGCCATCAAAAACCGGTTTTTGAAATGCCGTCTCAACACCGAGCGCGTGCAGACTTGGACATTCACAGAAAGTCATCGGAGAGAGAAGACGTGGAAAAGGTAGGCAGAATACTTCATAGTTAGCTTAGATTTTTTTTAACCTCTAATTTGATAAAGGTGGAAGACTTTAAGCAAAGGAGCAACTATTTGTATATAAGGCAATAGTTTTCTTGATACCGTACAAGTAGACGTTTTTAGCGAGGATGTAATTTATCATTACATCCTCTGCATGTTATTACACCCAAAGATTAAACTTATTTTGCTACCCTTATTTTAGGTTTCAGAAAGTCTTTCATTTTATATACAATATATAACAATATAACATAGGGGATAATTTGAACAAAGTTTTAATTAATATGCTTTAATTTCTAATTATAATGGAAATCTATCTCATTTCAAACTCTATAAACTACATAAATCCGGTGTGATTTTTTCGCTATCCATTTATATTAATTTTGATTTGAAAACTATCACAATATCTCATTTCCTATATTATTAAACACAAAAACAATGTAATGATTTCCGGCTTGTATTTCACCATCACTGAAGCTGCAAGGTTAGAAATTCTTGACATAATCTTGTTCTCTGTATTCTCAGCTTTAAAATGACACCAAACTTGTTTAAATCGAACGACAAGTAAAAAAGATATGGGCTAAAGAAAGTTCCATCATATCCTCTAAATAACTAACCCTCTACAACTTTCACATTCCACTTTCATTTTGTTTGACCTCACATGACCCGGCATGACCTATAACCCGGCATCTTCGCTTTTAGCCCTATCCCTACTCCAAACCCTAACCCTAACCCCAATCTCTTAATTCCCGTTGACCTACTTGATCACTTAAATCCGTGATCATTTTCGCTTTTATCCCTATACCCTAACCCTAACCCTAACCCTAACCCTAACCCTAACCCTAACCCTAACCCTAACCCTAACCCTAACCCTAACCCTAACCCTAACCCTAACCCTAACCCTAACCCTAACCCAAACCCTAACCCAAACCCTAACCCTAACCCTAACCCTAACCCTAACCCTAACCCTAACCCTAACCCTAACCCCTAACCCCTAACCCTAACCCTAACCCCTAACCCCTAACCCCTAACCCTAACCCTAACCCCTAACCCTAACCCTAACCCTAACCCCTAACCCTAACCCCTAACCCTAACCCTAACCCTAACCCTAACCCCTAACCCTAACCCTAACCCTAACCCTAACCCTAACCCTAACCCTAACCCTGACACCAAACTTGTTTAAATCGAACGACAAGTAAAAAAGATATGGGCTAAAGAAAGTTCCATCATATCCTCTAAATAACTAACCCTCTACAACTTTCACATTCCACTTTCATTTTGTTTGACCTCACATGACCCGGCATGACCTATAACCCGGCATCTTCGCTTTTAGCCCTATCCCTAACCCTAACCCTAACCCTAACCCTAACCCTAACCCTAACCCTAACCCTAACCCTAACCCTAACCCTAACCCTAACCCTAACCCTGGCATTAGGGCTAGGGTTAGTGTTAAAGTATGAATTAGGGTTAGGGTTAGGGTTAGGGTTAGGGTTAGGACTGGGGTTAGCATTAGGGTTAGGGTTAGGATTATCATTAAGGCTAGGGTTAGGGTTAGCATTAGGGCTAGGGTTAGGGTTAGTGTTAGAATATGAATTAGGGTTAGGCTGTTAGGGTTAGGGCTAGGGCTACAGTAAGGACCAGGGTTAGCCTGCTAGTATTTAGTTAGGGTTAGGGTTAAGCTGTAAACGATTAGTATTACAGTTAGGCTTAGTTTGCAAGGGTAAGGATTAGCTTATGGCTTAGGGTTGGACTGCAAGAGCTAGAGTTAGTCTGCTAGGGTTAGGGTTAGATGTAAAGCCAGGGTTAGGGTCAGCCTGCTAGGGTTAGGGTTAGGGTTACAGTTAGGGTTAGGGTTAGAATATGAATGAGGGGCTAGGGCTAGGTTTTAACCGTAACCCTAACTCTAACAGGCTAACCCTAGCCCTTACCCGAGCTCTAACCCTAACCCTTGCAGCCTCTCCCTAACCCTAACCCTTACCCTAACCCTAACCCTCACACTTTCAGCCTAACCCTAATTCATATCCTAACCCTAGCCCTAACTCTTACCCGAATCTTAACCCTAACCTAACTCTAGCAGGCTAGCCCTAGCTTTAGGGTTAGCTTTCTAGGGTTAGGCTAGGGTTAGGGGTAAGGGTTAGAGTTAAACTGCAAGGGTTAGGGTTGAGTGGTGAAGGGTTAGCATTAGGGTTAGGGTTAAGCCTTCTAGGGTTAGGTTAGGGTTAGGGTTACGCTGCAAGGGTTAGGGGTTAGCATTAGGGTTAGGGTTAAGCCCTAAAAGGATAAGCATAAGGGTTAGGGTTAGGATTAAGCTGTAAGACTTAGGGTTAGGGCTAGGGTTAGGAACTCCTTTTTAGAGGAAAACAAATAAAAAAAAAGCCCCCGACACCGGTGGACCGGTGCCAGAGGCATTAAGTTATGCTAGGAAAATAACAAACAAAAAGAAAAAAGCCCCCACCACCGGCGGATCGGTGGCAGAGGCTCAATGACATAGACTAAGTCCCAAAAGAGAGAAAAAAAAGATTTAGTCCAAATTGTAAGAAAATTTTTCTCTAATTCATAATCATCTCCCCTTGGAAAAGGGCGTGGCCCTTCATTTGAACAAATTTGAATCCCCTTAACAACAACGACTACGATTTGTAATTTAATTTGTAACCTTAGGGTTAGGCATAAGGGGTGAAGGGATAGCATTAGGGTTAGCTTTAGCATAAGGGCTAGGGCTAGGGCCAGGATTAAGTGGTGAAGGGTTGGCATTAGGGTCAGGGTTGGCATTAGGGATGAGGTTCGTCTGCAGGGGCTAGGATCAGGGCTAGGGTTAGGCATGAGGGGTGTAGGGATAGCATTAGGGTTAGGGTTAGGGTTAGGGCCAGGGCTAGGATTAACCTTAAGTGGTGGAGGGTTGGCATTAGGGTCAGGGTTGGCATTAGGGATAAGGTTCGTCTGCAGGGGCTGGGGTCAGGGTTAGAGTTAGGCATAAGTGGGGTGGGGATAACATTAGGGTTAGTTTTAGGATAAGGGCTAGGGCTAGGGCCAGGGTTATGTGGTGATGGGTTGGCATTAGGGATAAGGTTTGTCTGCAGGGGCTAGGGTCGGGGCTAGCGTTAGGAATAAAAGGTGTAGGGATAGCATTAGGGTTAGGGTTAGGGTTAGGGCTAGGGCTAGGATTAGCCTTAAGTGGTGGAGGCTTGGCATTAGGGTCAGGGTTGGCATTAGGGATGAGGTTCGTCTGCAGGGGCTGGTGTCAGGGTTGGGGTTAGGCATAAGGGGTGTAGGGATTGCTTTAGGGTAAGTTTAAGGGTTAGGGCTAGGGCTAGAATTAACCTTAAGAGGTGGAGGGTTGGCATTAGGCTTTAGAGTTTAGAGTTAGAATTCAGAGTTGGCATTAGGGATAAGGGTCCTCTGCAGGGGTAGGGTTGGGGCTAGGGTAAGGCATAAGGGGTGCAGAGATAGCATCAGGGTTAGTTTTTAAGGTTAGTGCTAGGGCTAGAATTAACCTTAAGTGGTGGAGGGTTGGCATGAGGGTCAGGGTTGGCATTAGGGATGAGGTTTGTCTGCAAGGGCTGGAGTCAGGGCTAGGGCTAGGCATAAGGGCTGCAGGGATAGCATTAAGGTTAGGGTTAGGGTTAGGGCTAGGCGTAGGATGAGCCTTAAGTGGTAGAGGGTTGGCATTAGGGTCAGGGTTGGCATTAGGGATGAAGTTCGTCTGCAGGGGCTTGGGTCAGTGCTAGGGATAGGCATAAGGGGTGCAGGGATAGCATTGGGGTTAGGGTTAGGGTTAGGGCAAGGTCTAGGACTAGCCTCAAGTGGTGGAGGGGTGGCATTTGGGTCAGGGTTGGCATTAGGGATGAGGGTCCTTTGCAGGGGCTAGGGTAGGGGCTAGGGTTAGGCATAAAGGGTGTAGGGATAGGATTAGGGTAAGTTTTAAGGTTATTGCTAGGGCTAGAATTAACCATACGTGGTGGAGGGTTGGCATAAGGGTCAGGGTTGGCATTAGGGATAAGGGTCCTCTGCAGGGGCTAGGGGTGGGGCTAGGGTTAGGCATAAGGGGTTCAGGGATAGCATTAGGGTAAGTTTTAGGGTTAGGGCTAGGGCTAGAATTAAGCATAC